TATATGCTCCTAACTTTTCATCTCACACAAGATCGTATGTATCGAGTGTAGGAAATAGGTGTGCAGTCCAAACGGCGAATCTAATCGCGCAATGGAAAATGGTATTTTGCAACTGGTTTTGATCTACTCTTGGATGGAGTTGTTATGGATCAGTACGTGCAATCAGTTGTTATTCTCAAGGAAGTATTCGTACAAATAGCAAGTGAAATCAGATAATTACTTTTGGTTTCTCACCCTTCACGAGCTATTCAAGTAATTAATTAATTAGCGATCGCTATTGGTCAATTTTTTCGTTCATAGAAATCTGGTATTCTCATATGGATTCATTAGTTCCGTTCACAGAATCAGTGAATCATGTCCTTTTCTGTGATCATGTCTCTGTTTTTTACGTTCTATGCATTCCCTCGGGTCATACTCGTTGATGATCGTTTTTGTACAATTTTCAAAACTTATGAAGTAATTCAAAAAAAAACGTTGAACTAAACTGCTGCATTCGCTTATACGTATGCGTATTTTATTTGCTAAATCCTGTACATCAGATAACGCAATGGATACCTGATATCATTAACTAAATTAATCATTCCGTGAAGCTTTCAGTCTAGATGACCGTCGTAACGTTCTCGATGATGTTTACACATATGATAATAATCGTTATTAATTCGCGTTGAATGGTTGTCATAGAGCAGTTGAAAGCATATTTAGTAATAATTATAATTATCTTGGTCGTAATAATAATAATTGTAATAATGATATTAATATTGGTTATAATAGTGAGCGAATGTAATTAATGATGAGTAAATAAGCGTAGAATGTTATATGCGGCAGTGTATGGTCTTTGATAGGTTCAATGGTTATTAGAGGGGTAAACGCTTGAGATAATTAGGGCGTTTTCTGTAGAAACCGATGGGGCATTGAAATATAAAGGGAGGATAATGAGGGAGAAGCGAATAATCTCGATGGCGGTCGGTGCAAGCTTAATGCTTGGGCGGAGCGTGGACGAGGCACGCTCTCCGAGAAATAATCGGAAAGGAGACCAAACAGCATCAGCATCAATAAGGTGTTGCAATTGGGAAAGCAGTGCTGAAGATAATTAATATCAATTAGTCGTTACCGAGATACAGCGAGATGAGGTACAATTCATCATTCAGATTATTATTGTTATCGCCTCAGTGCAACACTCTGATACTTTACATCCAAATGTTTGAACATTAACACAACTCGTCATTGCTACTCACAAGCACTTATCACTCCATGAACCGTATAACTCGCTTTTTGTATGATCGTACTTTTAACAGTCCTTTTAACAGCTGTCGCGAGTTCGACAATGGTCACATTAATGCGTGATGAAATCAAGCGATTAGATTTCGATTCGTCATTATGGTCATCAAAGTTGCATGTGCTCGATGAGATGACCAGTGACCTCCATCGTTCGCTTCTCTCTTCTATGTTATTTCATTTCTTTTATCCTAATGCTTCTCTTATCCATCTGCTAATCGAATATTAATTCATATTAAGTATTTTCGCGTTGAATTCATTAAATATGTATGCTCATTTATTATTATCTTAAAGATATGCACGCATCTAAACATCGTCAAGAACGAACGCAATCATTTCATATAGCTTGTATAATGTAAATAACAATTATTATGTTATTGTTGATGCTTAAATTTCTGATGATTGACAAAAGCAGAAATGATCTTCTTAATTGCTCTTCCTTTTTCTGATCACTCTGCCTTTTTTCACTGAGCCACTAATGAACTACTATTGCCGTTTGTTTCTAAAATTTTTCAGAGACTGAATAACGTTGAAACGAGCTACCCTCAAGTTGTCTAATTCGAACCGTATTTTATCTCATTATTAAAGGATCACTTAATTACATCCGCTGATTAATGATTATATTTAATACTCAATGCGCAGAGAGGAATACAAATTACTTATGTTACTCCCATATTCATCCGTTACTCTTCCTAGTTGACAACATGTGTGCGTACAAATAATTCCCAATAGTGCCATCGATGGTGACTAAATTTCTGAGATCGTTTTGCCTTTTTGCTATCAATTAAAGCGTATAATTTAGACGTATTATTGCCATCACATAAGCGAATAATTCGCTTATGTGATGGCAATAGGTGGATTTTTAAGTTGGTTTTATTTGCTTATAAAGCGTTCATTGTTAAAGGCATCCGTGATCTGGGTGAGAAATGTGGTAACGTGATTTCAGCTGTTATCGCTCAGCAATTGCTTCTGTTCCTCTGTTTTGATTATCAGTGATCTTGTGACTCATCCGATAGTATGTAATCGTGTCCATTTCACTAATTATCGTGCGACCAATCATGTGTTTGTTTTTAATTTTTGTAACAATTAGTTGGTTATTCTCATCGCCATTACTCATTTGCATCACTTAAACGAAACTTGGATTTATAATTTCAATTATGTTTGTCTCGCCGATCAACAATCGTTTCTTTTTTCGTCCCATTTTGAACTTCAAGTGGAATATTGTTCAATTTCACTTTGATGTTTCAATGATATTCTGTTTCACTTAGCTGTTATGTTGGCAGTGAAGTTGAGAAATCATTCGAATCATTATCAGTTGCTTTCAGCGATTCATGTTCAAGTGTAGTTTGACTGCGTACTTAGCTGCTCTGATATTTATCTCCTTTATTTTTTACATTCACTTCAGTTGCCCCTTGAAAGCTGCGGGCATTTTCGTTCGAGCTATTTCATGCGAAACCATCATTCTTTCAAGTATATCAAAAGTGGAAATTGTCAAGCAATTCATAGCGTCACATTTCCGGATCATAAAGGATTTCAACAATATCAGATTTTATCCGTTGCAAATTTCACCTTTTCTTATAATTGTTTCAGTAGGCTTTGTATGTCGATTACGTAGCGTTTCGACATGCGTCAGTGTTGTGTTCGAAGCGTGTTGTGGGTCGTTGTTTGCGTGGTATTTATTTTTGATGTGTCATTTCACTGACAGTAATCAAGATAACTATTCCAGCATTTTCCTCAATAAACTTACCGATCGTGTCCGCTCAAGTAGTGAAATTTGAACCTGTCTCCTTCAAGAACGTCATTTGAGCAAACCTGGCGACTGTGCTGACGCCACAACTTCGGATGCCCGAAAAGATCAGTCGTTCGAATTCACCTGATCAATCGGCCAGCACTGAACGACCTCAATCACTGAACAATACAAACTTTCCGTTTTATTTCAATCCATCAATGAATATGACTCAGTTATTATTAGAACAACAAAAAGTTGTTCTCGGACAACAACAGCAACAGTTTGAGCAACAGCAGCAGCAGCAGCAGCAGCAACAGAATACAAATGCACAATCGTCGTTATCATCTAATACATCGGCTATTAATGGTAGTGAACATTCATTCGTTTATAATTGCACCCATAAAATTAAACGTTAGCACGATAGCAAAAGCAAATTCCGTTTCATGGTGTTCCTCCACGTTTGACTCTTGCACTTTGAAATGTTTCTTCTGATGCACGGTCATTATTCTCTAGGAATCTAGAGAGCATCATTGGAAGTATGCAGTTGTTCGTAAACTACCAGTTTGAAATTGTTCGTGACTGAGATTAAGGAATTGTTACGAGTAATTTCAATTTACATGCTTTATCAGTGAAGTTTGAAGATCAGTTGTTTGGGGTGAAGCGTTTTGCGAGAGATTATTTGGTGTCAGTAGGTTCTGTTCGAATGATTTGTGAGAATTGTGAGTTTAGACGAATGGAGTCGTCCAATGATTAAAACAAATCCCCAGTAGAAGAAGTTCCATGAATGCTACGCATTAATAGTAGGGAAAGTGAAATCCCACCTAAACGTACGCAACGGACAGGTCAACATTCATTAAGAGTATCGCCTAATCGCATTGGTACCTGTTTTTACGGCTCACCTTTGTCCGTTTGAATCCGAATGTTCATCATATCAATTCCTTGCACATGAAATGAGCTAAAAACTGCCGATCGTTCAGTTTGAATGAGCGTTGAATATGTGATGTACTGAAGCTTTTGATTCTCAGGTTAACCTGTTTTGTTAAGGATTTTCTGTGGCCGCTCTAGCAGCATCCGCCGATGGTAGCACCTCACTGAAATCGCCATTCGCAATTGCATCCTTAACATCGAAGGATGACATACAAAACAAAAGTGACGACCGGGAGCGGAGGTCAATTTCAAACGATCAAAGCAATCTCCAGATCTCTGTTAAAACCGAACAACCTCTGCATTGTTAGTGAATATTTGAACTCTTTTCCCTTGAAATTGATCATTATTTAAGGATCGTTGCATTATGTTGAATTGATAGAATTTATTTCTGCACGAGTTTTATTAGATTTTATGAATCAATTCAATGATGCTGTATATCAGAAAAATATAGTATGATCAACATCTCGGATTCATCCTAATACGGATTATACTAGATTTAATGAAGCAGCAATCAAGTGCTATCGTAAGTCAGACAATTTATGACATCCGGAGTTATCATCGATAAAGATATCATCTATTCTGTAAATCATATTTCTGAATGATAACCCAAACAGTGGTACGCATGTGTGTGTGTGTGTGTGTGCATTTCATGTAGCAATGATATTCTCCTAAGTGCTCAAAAACCGTAATATAGTGACATTAAAGGAAATTAATTTAAAATGAGTGATAGTTTAACGATAAACAAAAGGACAACACTAATCTTCTGGCTAAACAAAAGGCAATTTAATTAATAATCGAATCAGCACTTCAGTGACAATGCATGATTCAACGCCGTCCGTGTCGGATGCACAAGATCTGTCCACCTTAAGTGAACAGCAGTCACCGTGTTCAGCAAGTCCAGACGAGAACGGTAAACGAAAGCAACGTCGCTATCGAACCACATTCTCAGCCTATCAGCTCGATGAATTGGAAAAGGTTTTCGCCCGAACACATTATCCAGACGTTTTCACGAGGTAATCAGATAATTACATGAATCTCATAAAGATACCGGATTGTATGAATGATGAAACCATTCTTGAAGATGACTTGCCTGAATTAATCACAACTGAAGATTAGATTTGACCGCGTAGATTAAGAATTAATAAATGATAAATTATTCTCAACTATAACTTATTGGATTGGCACCAGATTCGATTGGATGAGCTTTACTTTGTTGAACGCGTATTCTTTTTCATTCATTGGCTCTCACGAAGCGTTACTTTTTAAGTAACATTTCAATGAAATTAACTTTAAAAACGGAAATAGAGTATTAGATTGACGGCACTTTTCATTAATGTGCTGAAGACTTTTTAGAAATGTTCAAAATATTCTCCGATCTAAAGTTGCCCACCAAATCACATTTTCACATTTCCTTACAATAACATCTATTGCAAAGCACATCGTTGAATAATCTCAAAACGTAATCAAATAATCTCAAATAATCTCAGTTCACAGTGATGATTTATACTATAATTGTGATAGATTAGGTGTTATTATGCAGTAATGTGCAGCACTGAAAGATCGAATTCGTCAGCAAAATTCGCATTGACTTCTCCTTAATTCTCATACAGTATGTATTGATGCCACATACAGTCAAAAAAGCCGTATTTTCGTTTCAGAGAGGAACTGGCGCAGCGTGTGATACTGACGGAAGCACGAGTGCAGGTGAATTTTATACGAAATCTTTCATAGCTATAGACTTGAAAAGAAAACGCTGAAAGAATTTCATTGATTCAGCTGTAGTTGATTAATGAGTGAATTTTCACTTGCTATAAATGTTAGTTTGAATGTGGAACTGAGCAGGTTGCAGACATTTCTGATTAGGATCCATTGAAGTAATGGTCGAGGTTCCTCTCACTGACTACCTTTCGACTCATTGACTCATATGAAATCATACCATAACTTGATCGGATTGCTACTTCATCCCATTTCTCATTGAACGAAATCCAAGTGATTGATAAGCTTTCACAATGTCATGATTTTCATTTGTTGACGAGAAGGATGCTTAAATTAAGCATGCGAAAAAAAGCAGAATTCGATATGGTTTTATGGATTCCAAATCGTAGTTACATATTCGCGTACCGAAAAAAATCATTAGAAATTACAGCAGTACTCGAGTACTTTTCTAAGTACCATGTTAATCTGCAGTTCAAGTTCGCAACTCATGACCTGTGCAATGAACAAAATAAGCACTTCTTTGAGTGCTAGCCAGTTGCGCGATTAACTATATGTCATAAACTCTTGATGTCAAGTGCAGATGCGATTTTGTTATTGTTGTGATCAATTTTAATTTCAAAAGTATTCGATCAGACTTCAGACTAGACTAGAAGTCTGAGAAGGAACTAACATGTAATTGCTACGTTCTCTGCAATTTTCTATCAGTTCATACACAATTCATCACAAAGAGCGACTGAACGCTTCAATTAACTACAAAAAGTCCATTCACTAATTTCATCAAATTACTTTTAATCATGATTGTTTTATGATGCATAACGAAACGTATAATTCAGGTGACCTCTCAGGTCCGCATATTACAATTTTCTACTTCAGAAGTAGCATTTTGAAAAAAAAGCATTTTGAAATTATGTCATTTCAATTTTTTGCAGTCGAACATTTGAAAGCGTAAAACAATGCTAGTGGCTTTCCGTAAGCGTTCGCTTTGAGAACTGAGTGAATGAAATGAATATTGTGGGTATTTTGAAGGTTTGGTTTCAAAATCGACGTGCCAAATGGCGTAAGCAAGAGCGTACATCGAGTGTTCATCCATACTCACATAGCGCTCAGCATGTGCCTCATGGAACTCATCCTCTGGTTCATGCAAATCCATATGCACTCCTGGCTGCAGCCGCAGCTCAACAAAATCCTGAGAGCAGTGATGCAGCCGCCTTAATGGCCGCAATGACTATGCAACACCAGGCATTTGGTTCGTTTCCTGATTATTTATTTTGTTTGTGATTTTAGCTGCGGGACTCACCGTTACATTTCGTCGAACTCTTCCTTTCTTTCATCGTTGGGCACTTTTATGACTTTCATTATAACACGGCAGTTCTACAAGCTGGCAAGTCTGTGTATCTTTCCAAACGTTATCACGCTAACGGTTTGATGTCAATTCGTCAGATTAAAATCACTACTGTAGTGATGTCGGTGTGCTCTCTGGAATGAATGCACGTCACTGATTCATCCACACAGCGAAGTTTCGAAAATGACGAATTTTGTAAATTCCCAAACTTAGGACAGAAATTATCAATCAGATTTTTTGCGTACATTTGGTATTTAAGTAGACGAATCACACAAGTAAAGCCCCGATTGCACCTCTGCACTTCAAGCGAATGAACAATTGAGTTTTGTTCAATAAAAAGCCCGTATCTGTTCCAAAGCAACCATTCATATCCGTTGTACCATTAACAGGCTCATATCAAAATGCCACATTCACATGTCTACTCTGATGTACTTTGAGTGTGCTTTTCATCTTCTCAATGCAACATTATTAATTTTGTAAATGCCAAATGTTCCGTAATGAAGGTGCGCATTCCAATGAAACTTTGCAACGACAATTATGTCGATGCTCATAATGAATCATTGTGAGTGTTGAATCTTTATGACTGTTGCTTTTGACTAGCTTTGCATAACTCAGTATCTATATTCGCTTCTTGCATTTTTCAACGCACTTCTACAAATGTCCTTGAGGTCCTTATTGGAGATGTTTTGTTATCAGCTAACCGTTGGAAGCACTTTCAGTGTTGCTCGTCAATAATGCGATTTGCATTCTCTGCTATTGTATGACATTTGCAATNATGGGTTTTTAACCACTTTAGCGGAACTTTTTTTTCGCATAGGTGAAAATACTCCAAGAAATCGCTTATCACAAAACAATGTTTGTGCTGAAAGTTTGATTTGTTTGATTTCGTTGCTTGCAATTTCATGTCATTGCGATCTCAGCTTTCTGAACTGTACGAAACTGCTAGCTTTAATGAGTCCATGAGTGGAGATTCCATGAGTCGGGAGTGTATTAAGGAATTTATGGGTATAGGGATGAAAATGAGATTCTTCATCATCTGTTGGAGTGTTGTATATTCACTTCCCATAGATTCTGTGAACTGTATCAAATCAAAAATTATTCCTCCTTCCTCGCTTGGTGGTTTTTCATCTGCTGAAACGCTTTGGTAGAACGCAATTTGATTGCTTGTTCTTCTGCACTATTATGCAGCACTTCAACGATAACGTCTGCGTATATTTCAGAGAAGAACAACTAAAACTTTAGCGCTATACTAAATACTTTACTCCTTTGGAAATCGGGTTTGCTCTGGAAGAATATGGCAGAGCCAACGCTGTTTAAGAGTATTTGGTTGTTCGTGAGTGAACACCGCACAATGTTAGATGATGAATTTAAATAGTTCCTAAACGTATGATTTTCAGCGGAAAGCATGATGAATCCAACGGCGGCTACACTCTTCAATCCGTCGTTACTAACGGCTGCAACGAGCGGTGTGAATGCGGTTGCTGCGCTGACACCGACAAGTGATGCGCTGAGCACGACGAATCAAGCGACGAGTTCTTCATCCACATCTCATTCACCGTCTGAAAATACCAACGTCACTTCTGACATGTCCAGCACCCATGCCCAACCAGCAGCCTCCACGGCCAGCCCATCGCCAGCTGCTCTCAATTGCACCTCTTCAGCGCTCGAAGCGTCGTCGCTGTCCAGCGCCAAGCGTCACCATTCAACGTCCACTGTATCCACCACCTCCGGCACCACCACCACAACAACTTCCATACCATCCGCATCATTCTCACCGCTATTTGGTGCATGTACAAACTCAACAACCACTCCAGACTTTTCGCTAATGTTCTCTGGCTTGCAACAGCAGTTGGCCGCAGCTAACTACATGCAACAAATGCAGCGAATGGCTACAATCGAGAATTTGGCCAAGCAGTATTCAGGCATTTGGGCTGGAGCCGCAGTGGCAGCCGCACAATCGTCTCCGGCGTGGCGTGATCCCGGTTTGTTGAGTGCGTTCCTTTCGAACGGCACCAGTCGCGATCTGCCGATCGACAATACTCTTGCCAATGCCTTCCAACAAGTTCCATCCTCCAAGAAATGATTTTCATACTCATTCTAACGAACAAAAGCCCAAAGATCGACACCATACATTTTGTTGCAACCATCTTTTGTGGTTTTCAACGAATGATTTATTTTGTGTTCATATGCAACCAAATGACCTTATCGAGATCTGTCGGTTCAGAAGTGTTCTTTCGTCTTCTGCTGATGAACGGGCAATTTACGCCAAACATTTTTATGTACTTCTTTGAGGTTATCGATTCCGCCGAGTAACCAAATTTGTTTAACAACGTTGTTGGCTGAATGTTTCTTGTCGAATCTGAATCAATTTCTGGCACTGAATCCAAATATGTAATCTTTGCGAGCAATTATTAGGAGGGTTGGATTGTTATTAATTCTTCAATTGATTCTGATACAAATTCATATGCTTATTCCATAGGTATTGTTGATTCACCGGTAGCATCATTTTTCCTAACTGTAAGATATTCACACTTTCCACAATGTTAACTTAAGCGAATACCTCATAGTGATGGTGACATAAATCCAATTGGTGATATGTTCAATCAAGAAACGTTGGTACGGGTTAAAATACTTGATATCTGGAGCCATCGCAGAATCGATGGTGATATCCTAGGTCCTCATTGCCTTCGTGGTTTATGGTAACTTGGGGAATTTTATTCTGTTTCCTTTGATCAAGTTAGTATGCTTCATTTTGTGATGCATTCAACTTACTGCAAGTAAATTACTCATCCGAAAAATTCATTTGGCTTGTGCGACAATGCATGATTCGCCGTTTGGAAAATTATTTGCCGGTNGTGGTATATGGTAACTTGGGGAATTTTATTCTGTTTCCCTTGATCAAGTTAGTTTTGTGATGCATTCAACTTACTGCAAGTAAATTACTCATCCGAAAAATTCATTGGGCTTGTGCGACAATGCATGATTCGCCGTTTGGAAAATTATTTGCCGGTTTATTTGCGCGAAACCGAAATTTGTGATGGAACTGAGGTGTTCTTCATCTCATCATACCACCCTCTCTCTGAATTTGTCCACTGGTGAATTTTTAAAAGCGGTGAAAAGATTGTTTCGGTGATTTTAGGAGAGTTTTCAGACTGAAGAAGAAACGTTCTGTGTTTAAATGTGTTGAGATGTTGCTGTAATATGTTGTCAAATAATATTTTCTTCCTTTTTTATTGTTTTTGTTCATTCATGATTAGCATTGATGTTGATGAGATTGAGCATGAAATAATTTTTGGATAGCTTCCGGAATTGTTCGAAATCACTGCAATCTTTTTGTAATTGTATGAAAATGGAACTGAAATCACTGCAGCTATGTTGATGAGTTGGCACGGCACGCTTAACAGCAACGCCTCATCTGCGGTGCACGGTTTCATCCGAAAGTGCATTGTTTTTTATGAGTTGACCATGATTTTGCA